CTCTTTTTACTTATTTTTTCATATGTTCGAGATATATATTTTTTGAATTCAGGTTCTTATAAAAAAAATTTATTGTAGTAAATTACATTTTCATTTAGGCTCAAATTAGTTATTTTTAACTTTGACATAACACATCTAACTAAGCTAGCATACGTTTGAATATTACTGCTAATGGCTTAAAAGAAAGAGTAATTTTTTGATTTTAACAAACATAAAAATCATATTTGTATGTTATAGTTATAGTTTGTATAATTGCGCTTCATAGCAAATTTTATGATTGTTATGGAGCATCAGACGTATAAATCGATGTCAGCCTCTCATTTGTATAAATCGTTGGTAGCCTCTCATTTGTATAAATCGTTGACAGCCCCTCAATTCAATTTTATGTGTTTGTATATCTGCATAAAATTTGAAGTTGTATACAATTGAATCGAAATAAAACATTTGTCTATCAAATTTCTCTCTCTCGCTTTATACAACACATATTATGCATTGTAATTTGTATAATCTGTGTCTATATAAAACGAGAAAGAGAGAAAGGCAAAAGAGAACTGGGCAGGGGAAAATCTGTATTTGTATAATTATAAGTGTATAGGACGAAAATATATGTATTTGTATATACAGTTTTCTCTCACTTTATACAAATACAAACGAATTTTATACATTTGTGTTTGTATAAAGTGAGAGAGGCGAGGGAGAGACTGGCGAGCGAGAAATGAGAGTGACAAGCGAGAAATTTGGGAGAGAGGCGAATGACAACTGTTTGCTACAGGTTACAATTAAATCAAATTGTGGTTATAACATTTAATTTGAATTAATAGTTTGCTATTTTATACAATTTTTCCTAAAAGAAATGCATATTAAATATTGAAATACGCAGTTCTTAAGTGTTTCGTATGGTGAAGAACCATTCACATTTTCTTATAATTTGTTCATTTCATCTACTTTTAAAGAGTTACCAAAAGAATAATATAAGATATACAAGAAAATTAGCAATAAAGATTTATTTAGATGATGATGAAAACTAAGAGGAAAAATATTTATTTAGACGATGATGAAAATTAAGAGAAAAAACAAAGACAATGGAAGAATTAAATTTCAAAAAAGAAATGAAATATAAATACTTATATCTTTTTCCTCCTATTTTTAGTTTCAGCACTTTTTGTTTATTGAAAGAAGATTCATCAGACAATACATTTATAATTTAATAAAAAAAAAAAGCAAGTCCTTAAATATGTTTATTCGAATTATATATTTACATTAAAATATATATAAAAAAATTCTTAATAAATTAGCCTTTTAATTTTGAAAAATATTTTATATTAAAAATGTAATTCACATAAGCTCTAATTCTATAAAAATATTTGTATTGTGATTTTTGCATTTTCTTATTTCTATAAATGATTTTTTCTTTCTCGTATAATATTTAATTTTTTTAATATATATATTTTTCATAACAGCGCGACCTAATTCTCTACTTTAATACTTCCTCCATTTCAAATTAATTGAATTGTTGAGGTGTTTCGCATCTTTTAAGAAAAGAAGATTAAGAGATAAATTAGACATAGCTTTTTATTTTTATCCTTATTAATTATTGTTAATTTTATGATTAAAATAATTAAATATTAATAAATAACTAATTCCAATACTAACTAATGAAGGGTAAAATTAGAAGAACGTTCTAAAAGTAATCTAGAAAATTAAATAATTAAGTTAATTTGAAAAATAAAAAATGTCTCAACAATTCAATTAATTTAAAATGGAGGTAGTAGTAAAACAAGCAATTTCCAAGACAAATTGACGTTTTCATGTGTACCTACACACTTTCCAAGACACTTCTATTTTCTTACAATTTCATTTATTACTATTGACCTAATTTGAGCATTACACTTCTAGATACATCCCTTAAACATTTTCATCTATAATTTGTTGCCTATAAATAACTTCTTTTTTTCTTAATGAACTCACACTTCTCTTCATTCCATTACTTCTATATTTTAACAATTATCAATGGCTCGTTTTGCAACAATGTTTTTGGTTGCTTTGGTTTTCATGTTAGTTTGTCTTGCACCATGTTTTGAAGCAAGAAAACAATTGAAAAAACATCATGTTATAACAATTCCTAGTCTTGAAACTAGCAATGTTGATCGCAAGTTTAAATCGTTTCATAGTCCTGGAATGGGCCATGGTGGTAATCCTCCATTGAGGTCAACCCCAAGTTCTCGAAGAGGTCATTATAAAGAGATGTTCACATCAATTTAGTACAAGTTCATCAAAATGAAGAAAGAGACTTAATTATGTCGAAATTAAAGATTAATTAAGAGAGATGGTCCTATTAATATAAATTTTGAATGTTTTCAATAATTTAAAATTTCATTATTGCAATGTATTGTTTTGATTTCAATATTCTAAAATTTTTCTATGATTGAAAGATATATTATATATGGTACATTTTTCATAGCTATTAGTATTGTTGTGCTTAAAAATCCAAATATTATAAGCTATATGTTAGAAAAACGAAGTTGCACCTCTCTTTGGCCAAGGATTTTTATTTATCTTTTTTCCTCAATTTTTTCTACTTTCTTAATATTGTACAATAAATAAATATATCAATTACACTCTTCTATTTATTGTTATACTTCATGTTGGAGGTCTCAAGTTCGAAATCCCTTGCCAACGAAAGCAAGGGGTTTGCCTTCTGGGTCGAGCTCGTTGCATCGGGCATGCCTAGTGTGGGTTACCTTTCCTATGTGATTTGCGAGTTATTGCATAGGAGCGAGAGTTTTACCCTGTGCGCACCCAAAGGGTAGCAGCTACGGGTTTCCCTTGTCATCCAAAAAAAATTAATAAAAGCATTTGTTTGTGACGAAACTACATTTGTTTAACCACGAAATACATATAACTTTAGAAACAATTGGTGTCGTCATTGATTGAACAAAATAATTAGCGATGATATACTTTATTCGGTGTTAATAACTTTTTTAGTGACAAAATCATTCTATTAACTACAAAAAAATATTACTTTTTATGACAAATAAATTCGTCATAAATGTTTATACATTTCAGGGTGATTTTTCCTTTTGTAGTTAATATAGTTTTTTTAGCGACGAACTACTAAATCGTCTTAGTATACTTTTAGTGACGAGTGAATGACGAATTTTTTTTCGTCACACAAGATCTTTAGTGACAAAATATGATTTATAAGTAACGAAGTCATTTGTCGTTAATAATTGAATTTGTTGTGGCAATAGTTTTTTAATATCAAAATTTTTGGTTTAAAATATCAAATTAATGTTATTAAAATTAACTTTAAAAATTAATTAAATTGACTTTCAAAAAACGTAATATGACAATTAAAAGTGAATGGAGGAATAGTATACATATAACATGTCATGAATCATTGATTTGACTTATTTATTTATATCAAGTGCTTCAAGATTGGTGGAGTAAATCTCGAGTTAATATTTCAAAAGGTTATTCAATTTTGAGAATTTATCTAGCGATGTCACTAAATTTTGTTTTAAATCAATAAAATCACTCAACTTATATATTTATATCAACAAACTAAATTTGTTATTAAAAAAAAACTAACATGGCAAAATAAATTATTTTTATACCACGTAAACATAAATCCCATAAGAGTATCATATGGAATTTCCTGCTCTACAATTATCATTTCCAGCGAAAAAAGTTAAGTATGTATTATATTCCAAAAATTTAAGGATTTCACAGATTTTCATAGAAAAAGCATTAAAAACGAAACAAAATAAAAGTTCTACACTCATTTTATTTTTTTTGGAATTTGATTAGAGTATTAGTGTATATTTTTTTATTGTAATATCATAAGGTTATTTGTTTAACTAATTAAGTTTGTCTGTAAAAAAATTGATTATGTTCAATTCACTTGGATGACTTGCCATGAAATTTAAGAAAATAAATGTCTTTTCAATCTTATGTTTTACATTAAAGTTTTTACAATATTTTACTTTCATCACATGACATGTTTAAATCCGTAGGATTAAAAACATTTTGGTTTATATGACATAAATTTATCTAGCCAACTACGTTTTTTTATGGTTGTGTGGATTATGATGAATATATGTTCATTCACTTTGTTCTTGAATCTGAAAAATTCCAACAAAATTATGTCAGTGAGGTAAAAGTTCTCTAAAGAAAATATTATTTATTAGAGATTTCACATTCAAATCGTGACAACAACGGAAAAATCCTATTAAATAATATTTTCTCTTGAACAAATTTACACAACATAAATTCAAATTAATTTAATTTAATTCTAATATAAATTTTGAATCTCGAAAAACTAAAAATTAAATTTAGAGAAAAACGAAGAGGGTTTAGAAAATGCACATTGATCATTAAAGGAACATGTATGTATATCATATACAGTGAATTTGTATTTTCCATGTGTTTCTTAATTGAATATTTAATGTAATTTTGCATGTGATTTATAAGATAATTTTAATTGCTTGGTTTGGAGTGGAGATTAATTACTTTCGCTACAACTTCAATTTTCATATAATTCAAGGGTGTTTCGATTTATGTTTTGTATTAAAAAATCACTCAACTAAATTTATTATTAAAAACTATCTAATATGACAAAATAAATTATTTTTTACAACGGGTAAACATGAACCCCACTAATAAATAAAATTAAATGAAGTAAACATATATTCACTATCCATACAACCATAATATTGTACGTAGAGCAAGAGGTCCAATAAGCAATGGGAACAGCAAACACCGGCGACTTAGTACTCTCTAGTTTAGTTCATTTGTACCTACACGATTACCCAAAGCTAAACTCTTCTTTTTCCTAAAATTTCAATTATTACTAATTAATGAACTATAGTCTAGATTTCTTAAACGTTTTGTCTTTTATTGTCTATAAATAACATGTCTTTTCTTAATAAACTTACATTACTTCTTATTTTCTCCTTTTTGCTCCCAATATTTAACTAGACATCACTCTCCGATCAGTGATGGCTCGTTTTGCAATATTTATGCTTTTGATTGCTTTGGTTACTATGTTAGTTTGTGTTGCTCCATGTTTTGAAGCAAGAAGACAATTGAACAACATGGATAAGAAGAAGGTCACTAACCTGGCTTCTTCGGCCCCATGCAAAGAAGGTCATGTTTATGGCAACTTGAATCCTGGCCCTAGTCCTGGAGCCGGCCATGCTAACCCACCTGGCCCTGGAATGGGTCATGTTTATGGCAACTTGAATCCTGGCCCTAGTCCTGGAGCCGGCCATTCTGGCCCACCTGGTCCTGGAATGGGCCACACTTTTGGCAAGTTGAATCCTGGCCCTAGTCCTGGAGCCGGCCATTCTGGCCCACCTGGTCCTGGAATGGGCCACGTTTATGGTAACTTGAATCCTAGTCCTAGTCCTGGAGCCGGCCATTCTGGCCCACCTGGTCCTGGAATCGGCCACATTTATGGCAACTTAAATCCTGGCCCTAGTCCTGGAGCCGGCCATGCTAACCCACCTGGCCCTGGAATGGGTCATGTTTATGGCAACTTGAATCCTGGCCCTAGTCCTGGAGCCGGCCATTCTGGCCCACCTGGTCCTGGAATAGGCCACGCTTATGGCAAGTTGAATCCTGGACCTATTCCTGGAGCCGGCCATTCTGGCCCACCTGGTCCTGGAATGGGCCACGCTTTTGGCAAGTTGAATCCTGGCCCTAGTCCTCGAGCAGGCCATTCTGGCCCACTTGGTTCTGGAATGGGCCACGCTTTTAGTCATTCTGTCCCACCTGGTCCTGGAATGGGCCATGTTTATGGCAACTTGAATCCTGGCCTTAGTCCTGGAGCCGGTCATTCTGTCCCACCTGGTCCTGGAATGGGCCATGTTTATGGCAACTTGAATCCTGGCCTTAGTCCTGGAGCCGGTCATTCTGTCCCACCTGGTCCTGGAATGGGCCATGTTTATGGCAACTTGAATCCTGGCCTTAGTCCTGGAGCCGGTCATTCTGTCCCACCTGGTCCTGGAATGGGCCATGTTTATGGCAACTTGAATCCTGGCCCTAGTCCTGGAGCCGGCCATTCTAGCCCACCTGGTCCTGGAATGGGATTAGGTGAATTCTGATTTGTAGTGGGATGCAATATAACTAAGTACAATATATTATTTGAGTCTTTTAAGGGATTTATATACTCATTAATAAAATTAATGAGATTTCTTTATCTATATGTTATTATATCTATTTTACAGTGCATGGACTAAATATTCCAATTGTTTAACTGAATGCTGTATGTAGTAGTATACATATAACCTGGCAATTATCGTTTTGGCATAGTTAAATTATATCTCATTGCTTCAAGATTGTTAGAGAAAAATTGAAGAATGATTATTGATTTCTTTCGAGGGTTGAATAAAAAGAATAATCTGAAATGCCACGTGGCATACTTTCCTTTTTTATCAAAAAAGGGGTTATAATTAAAAATAATTTAACAACAAAATTTTAGTTGTATATACTTTTAATGAGAATTTTTTATCACCACATAACTTAGATCTATTTGTAATTAAATGATGTCACATAGATTGATACGAAGATTGTAATATTGATATTGGCTTTGAACAGATCTTTGGATCTCTTGCATGGTGTCATTATCATGGAAGAAAGTTAGATATAAAAATTGGGACGACCAAATAAGACTTTCCAACAATAAAATAGGGATAAGGGACTGAAAAATATTTCAAGTTTGGTCGAATTTATTGTTGCGATACTAAACTTTCATGAGGACCTATTACCTCCCTAGACTATTTAATACCGTATTTTAAACATATATATTTACCCACGTGGACATAAAAAATAATGTAAAATTATAAATAGTAATGTGTCCACGTGGGCACATATATACCTTTAAAATACACTATTAAATAGTTCATGGGGTAAAAAATCGGTATTAAATAGTCTAGGGAGATAATAGGTCCTCATGAAAATTTAGTATCACAACAGCAAATTCGACCAAAGTTGAAGTATTTTTCAGACCCTTATCCCAATAAAATAAAAAACGATATTCTTATGAAGAAAAAAAAATTCCATAGAAAATAAGTGGATTATTTCATTTTATTTTTAGTTTGACAACTAACGAAGAAAATATTTTGAGTTTTATTTTTATCCGATATGTCATTTTTCTTGTTTTTAAAGAGCTTGTTTTTGGATGAAAAATATTTCTCTCCACACAAAACACACACAGGGTGTCTTCATCATTCGAATTTACGGGAAGACGTCACATGAGATTTGAAGGGAAGATGAGGAGAGTCAGACTCTTAACTCAATAATACACAAAAGTGACATAACCTCAAGACTTGTCATTCGGCCCAATATTGTTTATAGCACATGACCATATTTTTGTTATTTTGTAGTCGTAAATATTTCTCTATTATTTTTTGTTTATCCATTATGTATGCTTATATTGCATCACATTTTAAAAAAAATATTGAATAAATAAATTGATTAATGCTTTGATAAATTCAGTGATCATTCTTAAAATTTAGAAAAACAAATTACTTTAAGGCGTGAAAATAATATTTAGAGGTTGAACACTAAACTTAAGATGATTTGGATGTAATTTAGGTAAAAATTTCCTGCTTATTGAGCTGCGGTGACCTAGCACGACAAAACACTCTCAAAAAACATCAAAAAAATTGTTAGAATATTCACTATATTACCTTCTTTCTTTTTTTTAACCCAGATCCAATAATTGAATACTTTTTATTCAACTCACCCATTTGCTATCATTAGTTGATAGGATCAGTTCACCACTCAAATTATAACCTTAGATATATACTTTTCTAATAAACTATTTTGTGAATATTAATAATTAAATTCAGATCTATATAAGTCCCAAAAAAGGCGTAGCAAAAACTAGTAAAGGATGAATTTGATACTAGAATGGAATCGTCCACTCTTTTTGACTAAGAAAATGGACGGTGTGAACTATGACCTCAACCTTTATTCGTCTTCAACCCACAAAAAGTCGTTTTTTTTTTCTCATACTCGATATTCGATATTTGCATTACACTAAAACTACAATAACAACAATAATAAAATAGAGTTTGAGTAGAATATAGTATACACAAACCTTAACCATACTTGTTGAGTCAGACCAATCGATTAACTGCCAACCGCTCTTACAAGAGAGCTAATCTCGTAGAATTCAATTCCTCTTTTTCAAGTTTACCCGGTGAGCACAATTGTTGCTCAAACTACAATAACAACAATAATAAAATAGAGTTTGAGTAGAATATAGTATACACAAACCTTAACCATACTTGTTAAGTCAGACCAATCGATTAACTGCCAACCGCTCTTACAAGAGAGCTAATCTCATAGAATTCAATTCCTCTTTTTCAAGTTTACCCGGTGAGCACAATTGTTGCTCGGGTAGGTGGTGCGGGTTTCAAGCAACTTAAGGCTATTTTCAATTCTAGTCCTGCAAAACACTATTTTACCCCAATAAAACTCCATCTCTAGGACTCAAAACCAAAACTCTGGGAATAGATATGAAAAAACCTTCTTTGGTTAAAAAGGTTTTCACCCACCAAAATGTAGAAGCAACACTCCAAAATGCACACACACAAACAAACATTATTATCAATAAAATATTAGCCGAATCATATTAATAAAATAATGTACACAGCTAAGATTCTTCCACCACTCCTCTCCTAATATTAACAAAATTGGAGGAATGATTTTTTCTACTTTAAAATAACATTACTAGTACTACTACTACTAGTAATAGTAAACATTTTCCAACCAAACAAAACATAGAAAAAAACAAAGACAGTGTTTTGGTAAACACTATTCCAAGTTTCCACAAGACACAAAAATTCATCAACGCGCTTTCCCCTTTATTGAAAAGCCAGCCAGCCATGCCATGCCCCCCTTCTAAATTCCTCCATCATTCTGGTTTCTTTGTTCCCATTTCACAACATTAAAAAAACAATGTTATCGTTGATGCGTTGTGTTGTGGGTCCATTTGTAAAGGAAAGAATCTGATGCTGCTTTTGGATTTACCATCTATGGGGGGTTCAACACAGGTAAACTTGACACTGAATGACAGTTTTACCTATCTTGAAACCGGGAATCACCGAGAAGCCAACACGGGGTTCGGTTTCTGGTGATCCATCCCATGATATGAACGCTTCTTCATTCAGACTCTCCATGTAAACGTCGGAAAATCGAGTACCTTTACTCAATTGGAAGATTGAAGCTATGGGATCGAAGGAGAAAGCTAGACAGTGTAGTAACCAGATGCGCTTAGCCATATCGCTGTATGCGGAGAAGAAAGTTGACTCGGGATACTCACCTGAAATGAGTATGTTTCTTTGATCCAGGTTGCCGAAAATGGAGTCTTCCATCTTGGGATGGATTAGTTTCAGGTACTTGGCACGACAGAATATTGAGAATGTTGATTTGGGTTTCCAGGCTAAGTAATCAGCAGGCTTCATGGATCTTAGCTCAGTGAATCTGTCGTAAAACAACTTTTGCCTCTTCTTTTGTTCGGGCAGAGGCTCGGTTGAGATGGAAAAGGTTGGATAATTGAAACCATCAAACATCTCTCGGCTAACGAATGACTCAAAGGCGTAATATATGTCATTTGCTTTCGAGAACTCTATACCGGGTTCGATGGAACTGGCTGCAGCATCTAACTTGCACCCAGCATCTACCAGCTCCTTGCTCAACAACCTAACAAAGCTTCGAATAGACCTAATTGTCTGCCGATGGAACATGATAAAATGGCTGGGGTTCAAGCTTGAAAAGTGAAGATTGTCCAAAGGAGACACAGGCCCGCTGGCATTCAATCTTTTCTCAAGCAGCTTGTTTTCTTGATTAGCCTCGACTAGTTTCTCTCGAAGAAACATAAGTTCTGATTCCTTGAATTTGAGCTGTGAATCCAGCTTCTTTCCCATGATATCATATGTCTTCAAAATACTTTTCTGTTCCTGAATTTCGGCCAAAAGGTGAGTTTTCTCTGGGGAATACTCATCGAACTGCTTCTTTACAAAGCACTGTTTCAATTCAGACAAGTTCTTCAGTTCGGACACCACCAAGTCATCAGCAGATTGAATTCCATCAGGGTCATATGGAGACTGAGCAAACTGCAATTGGGCATATGCCGCTTTAACAGCTGAGATATTCGCAAACAGCTTCGCAAGAAAAGCTTCTGCAGCTGCTTTCTGATGCTTTTCATCTTCATCATTGAAGGACTTAAACTGTGTTTTCTTGAGTAACTCACTCTTCACTAAATCCTTCTTTACGACATCATCCTTAACATGTTCACTGAATTTTGGCTTCTGGTTTCCTCCTGTTAGAGATCGGATGTGCAAAACCTTAGCAAACGTACGAGCCAATTTACTCTTACTCGGGGTCACAGCAGACCGATTAACTGAATCCATCTGAAGCAAATATGAGGTTGTGAAGTTGATATTATACCATATTAGGTTGGAGCAACATAATCATTTCAGCTAATGCCAATAACAGTGTCATTTAAAGAGAGAAAAAGGAATGAAATGATGGCAACGACGACTATCTACCAAATGATTAGCATGTTACAGCTAAAGAAAAAAAGTAACACACTTTAACTCTTGAATCGAGGTTAGTTAAAGGCAATTGGAATTTCTTTTTGTTCTCTACTTGAGTATTGCCCTGTGGCCTCTCAATCTCCCTTTTGCAAGTTCAAAAAGTAGAGTTAATTGGAAGAAAAAGAGAAATGTGAACAGAAAGATAGAAGAAAAACTGAAGGCACGTCTACATTACAAGTTCAAGAATGCTTTTTTATATAATACTAGAACAAAAAGATACAAGATAGCAACTTGAAGACATGGATATAAAAATGGTTAGCTGAGAACATAAAGAACTTCTGCAGTGCAATATTAATATACTATTCAATAATGTAGAAACGGCATGATTTGACCCAAAACTATTAATAAACTCATCAGCCTCTGCCTAACTTAAAGAATAGTATAAATTTCCCACTCAATAGCCTTTATTCGCCAATTTCCCACATCAATGTGCAAGATGACAACAAATCATAGAATAAAAACGCTACCAACTAATGAATTAATGCAGTTTTGCCATAGGGATGAAATCCCATACTCCTAAGTCCCCAAGCAATAGTACTCCAATACTTATATTGCTAAATTTTCAGTCCCCCCCCCCTGCCCCTCTTGAATACTCTTAAAAAGTAAATCTTTGGACAGAATCATTTGAAAACGACCTCATTAACAGATACTACATGTTAAAGATCTTTATGGGACAGCAAAGATTGCCGACCTTTAAAATCTTGGGGATGGAGAACATGAAAAAATAAAAATAAGAATTGCAAACCAACAAAACCAAAATTTGAATTTATGAGTTCTAAATTCTAGGATCGCCATATCAAGTACTTCTTAGACAGCATGTCAAATCAAATTAGGACAAACAAATTAAAATGGAAAAAGCATTAGTACTTGGGTTCTTAATTTACTTTATGTTAATATTTAGTAGAAATTTTGATAAAAATACCGAGTTTTGGAATAAAGCTACTAAATTTGGCTGAACCCTAATAGCTTTAGGAGCTCTTTTGAATGGACTAATTTAAATATTTTTAAGCTAAAATAGTTTTTAAACATTTTCGTTAGCGTTAAGGTGAAACGAGAAAGTGGTTTTAAGCACTTATCTTAAGCCAAAATGTCATACATTAGAAAAACTACAAGCCTATCTAGACATGTTCTTAACCATAATCCATTCTTAACCAGAGATTTTAGATTTCGCGTGAGAATGAGATTGCCTTAAGTGGGAAAGGATCTACACCAAGTGGATTTTCTAACTCAAATAAGCCATCTTAGACAGTTGTGAACCAAAAAGAATGGGATAATGATCACCCCACGCATCCCCCACCCCCATGGCACATTTAGACCATGATTCACGCAAGACTTTGTGCTCATAGCATTCACACCAAGTAAAATCAACACACTAATTTTCCAATTTTAAAATTCTTTGACCAACACCAACCACAAAACCAATCCAAGTAAAAAAACTCAGAGCCAATAATGCTTGTACTACATTAGTTAATAGTCCAATAACTCTCAAAAAAAGTACTGAATATCCTTCCAAACTTTTGCAACTTTAGACGTGTCACCACGCATGAACAGGTACAGTTACGGACCCACGTAGCAGTAATAAAGAAGAAACATTTTTCGTGTGGCACGTTTAAGAGCACAACAATAAAAGCATATTTTTGTGGCATGTTTAAGACCAAAACTATTAAGTATATGTGCATCCAAGGGTGTGGTCTAGTGGTTGATGTGGTTGAGAACCCCGAATCTCAAGATTTGAAACTCAACAGAGACAAAAAACACTAGGCGATTCTTTTCATCTGTCCAAGCTTTAGTGGATAAAGTTAGCCGGTGACTGTTACAAGTGAGATGTGGCAGGTACCCCATTGAATTAATCGAGATGGGTGAAAGATGGGACACCACGATAATAAAAAAAAAAGTGTTTTTTTTATTTTCGTAAACTCTATATGTCAAGTTAAAATAACACAAACAAATTGTGATGCTATAACATTGTTATAGTAATTTCATCACACGTCACTCAGCATTCTGCAAAAAATCACATGGGCCCTGATGATCTTTCAGAACTCTGATTACACACACCAACCAAAGGCACATAAATGCCCGTTGGACTTGCTTTGCCATCTCGATAATCGTGCCCAATATAATCCAACATACAAAACTTTCAAAAGCTAATATTCCAGAAAATGTTTACCCACAGTAGCAGCAGGTCACGTGACACCACTTTCAGGTGCTAAAACATCCCAGCAACAAGTCACGTGATCACAAACAATAGTGGAGAGAATCACAGGATAAGCTACTGTGAGGTCGCATACAGTGAAACAAACACAACAATAAGACCTAAACGTGCTCCCTCATTACAAGGCACACAAATAACTACTGATTCTCTACACGCGAGTGCAGAATAAAATATATACACTAGCACTAATCAATTAATCATATCACCATTCATTTTTTGTATTACATTAATCTCACAGAAAAAAATAAATTCAAAGCTACTCACCTTTTTTGGGAGAAACCTTCAGAAAAAAAACTGGAGAATATTCACGCCTCCTGCCCGAATCTCAATGAAGCACAACAAAAACACCATAATCCTCCATTCATAAACAACCTCTTTCTCTCTGTAAACCAAAATCAACGATACAAAAATCAATAAAACTTGAGAAAAATCAGATTTCGTGCACGAATCTCAATGAAGCACAAAAACAGTATAATCATCCACTCTTCTCTCTATATACCAAAATCAATAATTCAAAAAATTAAAAAAAATGAAGAAAATTCAGGTTTCGTGTACGAATCTCAATGAAGCAGAAAAACACCACTCATGAACAACCTCTTTTCTCTCTGTATACCGAAATCGATGAACCAAGAAATCGGGAAAAAAATTCAAAATTAAAAAAAAAACGAATGTTCATTGATATCACATATATGAAGAAAAAAATCAAAAAAATGTTACCTTCTGAAGATTTCAGTATCAGTAGAAAGCTGGCATTGAGCGATAAGAGTAATGATTGAGAATCTTCAACGTCTATTTGATGATGATTGTGCTTTTTACTGTTTATGGATTTGCAAAATTAGTGGGGTTTTAGGGAACAGAGAAAAAATCGGAGCTCGAGGGAGAAGAAATAGTAGAGAGTTAATAAGTGAGAAATTGTGGAGAGAAAGAGGGTAAGAGGAAAAAGACGAAAAGGACCATGGAAAATGGGGGGGTGTTGGACAACTAGTAAGGCATTGGGAATTTAAATAAAATACTCAGATTTTTTTGGTTGGGTCAATTTATGGACGAATTAAATGACGGAATTGTCCGAAGTGTGAGGGTAATTTTACGTGGGTTTGTATGGATAGGAGCTTAGCTGGATAAAGGGTGATTTGGTAATTGGATATTGACTACTGACGCACCGCGTTATTCACACAGGTGTATTTGTTCAGGAGGAGGACAATAAGGTGGAGGTTTTTGAAACATTTAAAATGATATGAAATTAGACTGATATTTTAAAATGTACTGTATTTTTTTTTGTTATATTAATATGGAGAAAATTATGTAATTTTGAGTATTTAAATTTTTAGCTTAAAATAGTAAATTAATGAAATTCAATTTTATCTTTAAAAATTAATTAAATTGAGTCCCAAAAACTGTAACGTGACAATTAAAAATAAAGAAAATACTTACTCGTATTTAAATCAAATCAATTAATTCAATCATAAAAGTTAAAACTAAATAATAACTTATACAATATCATTTAATTATAATTATAATTTTTTAATTATAATTATAATTAAAAATAATCAAATACTTTTTTTGTGTTATAATAGTTTTCCATTATAACTTTATGTAAGGTAAGAACAAGCGTGCATATATTTTATTATATTATGGATTTTGTTTTCATATATTTTATAATATACATAGTAGATTAGTCAATTTTGTCATTATTTGGTATCTCATAATTGTTTTACAATATACAATTGTAACGTGCGGGTATTGGAGAATACATGCATCATTTCTATCTTCTTCTTCTTTTTTTAAAAAAAATACTTAATATTACTTCAAGCTCACAGCTCTTATTAACAAACTGTTTAATGGTAGTACAAGAAGGGGCATGTAATATAAATTGACAACTTGATGCTAAAAAGAGCAAGGCATTAATTGGAATTCCCTTGAAAGTCTATATATAGTTTCTTCAACAAGTGTAGCAAAACGAATAAATTGATCAAATTATAAACTACAAACTGAAGAACTTAATTGGAGAAGATTTAGAGGGGGTTTGGATTGGCTTAAAAGTTGGTCAAACCTACTTTTAAGTCAGTTTTTGACTTCTGGAAGTGTTCGACAAATATAAAAAAAACTTAAAATAAGTTACGAAGTGTTTGGCAAGGTAAAAAACGACTTAAAATAAGTTAGAAATCAAAAGTAGGTTTTCCTCTACTTTTTATTTTTTTGACTTAAAAGTCATTTCAATTTGACTTTTTATTTTTGACTTAAAAACTATTTTTTTAAGTCAATTCAAACGGGCTCTTAATACATGTATTAAGAAATAGTAAGGTATAGGAGTAATTTTACCAAATCACCCTTATTAAATACTATAAGTAATCTAAGAAATTGAAAATTGAATAGTATTTAATAGTAAGGGTAAAATAAATATAAAATGATATATTAATCATTACTCCCTCCGTCCCCTTTTAGTTGTCATGTTGCGTTTTTCGAAAGTCAATTTGACTGATTTTCAAAGTTAAATTAGATTACATTATTTCGATATTTTAAACTAAAAATTTAGATATTTAAAAACTATACTAAAGTAGTATAAATTATATTTTTTTGCATATCAATATGACGGAAAAATACATTATAAAATGTTAATCAAAATTTTTATTATTTGACTCTACAAAATTAAATCATAACAAAAAGACGACAGAGAGAGTATTTTATAAACTGAATAAATATTACTAGTAAATATCTAAAAATAGTACGGTGAATAAGTAAAAATGAACGGAGTGAGTAAGAGAAAATTATGTTGTCTTAAGCTAAAATCGAATCCCAATGAGGCAATGACACTGTCCAAAGAAGATGAGAATCTAAAACAAAATATGCACTTGTATTTTATTCCTTTCTTTTTTTCACATCTAACTAAACACCTATTTTTAGTTTATGAAAATTCAACTTATTAGTGATTTAACAAAATCATTTTGTCTTAAAGTTAGGCTTTAACGTTCTTTTTTAAAACTAGCATGAATAGATAATAGAGCGTTACATTCCAACAATAATGATGATTCTAACTTGATGACCATTATATATGGCAATAAGACGCAAACTAGTATATTTTATGTGCATGCATTATTTTTACTTCCAATTTCATGTATCATATAGGCGAAGATATTATTAATTTATTACTACTAGGTTTTACAAGCACAATAAAGGGTGAGTCGTTACTAAATAAAAAGGAAGATCTTTTTAATCAATGAGAGACACTTTCGTTACCATTTCTTTAAAAAAAATATTTGGATTATGCTTTGATTTTTTCGAGAACAGATAATTAATTTATTTATTGCTTTTGTCACATTATAATTTAATTTCATTGTCGTAGTCACTTTAATATATTCTCCATTATACCATCCTCGTTTTCGTTGTCATATTGTTCAAGAAAACCTAGAGTTTAAGATTATTTAATGTTGTGAAGAAATTTTCAAAGAAAAATATAATCTTTAACATTGTGTAGTTCTCATATCTTGTGATGATAGTGACAATGCATGGAGGGAAGACAATTTTTTCTCTTTAGCTTTCAATTTTATTTCTCACATGCTCAAATGAATTTTCTTTTACTGACTTTTATAACATAATAAATGATTATTCTTTAAGAAATAAAAAGGGAAATCTTTTTAATCAATGAGAGATACTTTTGTTGTACATATATACCTTTCATTTCTCTAAATATTTTTTTGGATTCTTAAGAAATTCTTCAATTTCTTTCGAAAACAAATGATTGGTCATCTGTTGCTTTTGTCGTATCAAAATATAATTTTATTGTCGTAGTCACTTAATTATATATTCTTTATTATACAATTCTCATTTTCGTTGTCATTTTGTTCAAGAAAAACCTACAAAATTAAGATTATTTAATATTGTGAAGAAATTTTCAAAGAAAATCTAATCTTTAAGCTTGTGTAGTTTTCATAACTTGGTGATGATGGTGACATTTTTCTTGTAAAGTCATCAATCAATTATGAACATTTATGGATGCTGTAATTTACTTCGAAATATTGGTCCTACTTTTACCTGTTGCTATCTATCATTTTTTTCTCCATTTAATTTGCCTCCTTAACATGTCATTTTTTTCCAATCAAGAGAGTAATGTCTTTTTCTATTATTTTACCCATGGAAAAAAATTAGATACTTGTCGATTTGCAAATAAAAAAGTAATGTATATACCAAACCTAATGTATATATTGCATTTGCAAATAAAAAAGTAATCGAACAAATATTGAATAAAACAGTACACGAAGATTCATAAGCAGCCTAGAAGGACTTATTCGACCTAATTGTTTTCATTTAATCGATGAAATCATGAAATCATGAAATCAATCTTACTTTCACTGTGATCGGTTTCTTTTTAAAATTAAGCGTTTATTTCTTGTCCATTTTTTTATACTTTTATATATATATATAATAATATGGAATTTCACTTTTTGTTCACAAACTATTTCAAGAGATATTCTAAAGTTACTTTAAAATATACAATAATAACCAATAGCTAAAAGCCAGGTTGCTTACGTGTGCTTCTTGCTTCAGCCTATCCTATTCATAAATCAGAATTAAACAATTATTTTATTACTTACTGGTAATAGATTGTTTTACCTTCCAAAAATGAAACTATTTCCCGTCAATAGCCAAACAATCATGAATTATTATTTGATTATTTGTTCTTCTATCTTATAAATATTTAATAAATTATTTGATATTCAGTATCACTTGACTCAAATAGGTTGAATTCGTGTTACGTAAGGCTTCTTAAGAGCCAGAGGAAAACACTAAAAATAATTCTATTTTTCAAAGATAGATTTAAGATTTTTGGTTAAAAGTAGAGAAATTTCTAATATTCCACAAAAAATCGTTGTGGTTTTTTATTATATAACTCCTACGATCTGCTCGCTTTGATCTTTGCACGTCTCTTTAAAAATAATGATTAATATGAGAATTTTATCATAATACTCATATTAATTGACGTTAATTAGCATTAGGTCTTACCAACAAGGGTTAGTGGAGTGGTAAGTACTTCTTCATCCTTAACCAGAGGTCTCGAGTTCAACCTCTAGGTACGAAGTTGCTTTTGTTAAGAAACACTTTACCTCCCCGAACGTGAGATTTTTTTATGAGAATTCGATAAAAATGTATAGACAAATAAAAATAAACTGATGAGTAACTTTAAATATGACAATTTTGTCAATAATGTTCGTCTCTTTTTTATCTAAAGAGACTAGATTAATTATGTCACGTTCCATCTTTATTTTGGATTCTCTTGAATTAATAAAAACAACCAGTAAGTTATTTTGGGTTGTTTCTTCTTATTTAAATAAAAAGGGAAAGGCATAAGTCAGACATCTAATTAATTCTTAATCCTTAATTATTCCTTTCATTGATTAAATTAAGTGATATCCTCTTCTCATAATTTGTCACGAAATGGATTGTACACTTGCTAATTGCAACTTGCAAGGGTTAATTAATAATTAATTAGTTATAATAAGGTTTCGCAGGTGTTGTAACATTCAATGAGGACATTGGTTATGATCAATAAACACCACAATAATGTATTTTGTTGTTTGAAGTGTCTGAAAAGTTAAATTAATTATTAGCAAAGATATATGATTACTTGAAGCAACTCTTGGAATGGATTGTTTAACCAATTAATAAAGTTAACTATATTATAAGCATTGCCAATTTGACACTATATCAATTGCACTTTTACAAAATTTTATATTCAATCTTCATTCTTTCTACGAGAGGCATACAATGTTCAACTAATTTTGGCAATGTGGTCGAAAGCCTAGTGGAGGAAGTATGAGATGTACGAATTTAGCAGAACTTAATAATTTTAATGTGAATTTTATATATATTTTGAAATTTATGAAACAAACACACACACATATATAATGCTGTAAAATTGAATTAATATTACTAAATTAAAACTTTTTAGTAAATAATTATAATTGAAAGAACATAGGACAAGTGTTTTTAAATAATTAATACAATTTTTCATAGACTTACTTGTATTTTGAG